TTTTTTATTAATAAAAAATATAATTTCTAAAAATAAAAGTATTATCCTTAGTGTGAGATAGCCCGGAGTACCTGCTAAAGGGTGCCACTTACTCGGCCTATTCCGTGTGAATAGTTCTCTAAAGTTTCGAATCGTGAGATCCGATCTTTAAACCTTTTTATAGGAGGGCTGTTAAATATTGGATAGGATCTAGACGGCGAAGTCTTTATCCAAGTCAGGATTCCTAGACACCAGTTAATCGAATTTGGATACGCGGATTAACACGCGTGAGGGGTCTGATTCAGAGATCGACGAGACATTATATTAAATGATGATAAAAGAAATTTAATAAACACATATATATAAGTAAAACTATACACAAATGGAATTACAAATGAATGAGGGATAATGAATTCGACTAATACTATACGCATCGAGAGAGATGGATTCTCTTAACTTATACAAGGTCGAGAGAGAGAGAGAGCTCACAGTTCAAAGATAAACATACAACTTGTTCGTTGACCTTATCTTCTTCTGTATTTGACGCCTTTACTTTCCTTCTAAATTTCTCGGACTTTGAGAATATTTATGTCTATGAAGTAAGCCTTTGTATCTATAAGTGCTTATAGCATAGGGCAGGGGTTGGAATTAGCAGCTCGCGAGTCGCATGCGGCTCTTTGCGTAGATGTTTGCGGCTCTTCAGACATAAATTCCAATTTCACCTCACCTCAATTCACCGCAGCCTTATAACTTAAGAGTTTATGAGATAGAGTCGTACGCCGTCCGCACATGACCACACTCGCGTTGATCAATGTGTCGCATAAGAGTGGTAGCATTTGAAGCATATCTATATATATAACACATTGAACGCGTGTCCGTCCATCCGTGTAACGTTATGCCAAAAACGTCCACTAGAGGCACCCCTGTCGTATGTCGTATTTCGCACATTTAAATTAATATGCGGCTCTCTGGTACTTTTGTTATCCTGTTTTCATGACAATTTGGCTCTTCTCACTTGACAAACTGCCAACCCCTAGCATAGGGCGTTGGCCTTTAGGAGCTTGTATGGACTTCGTCTGAATACTCTGGGATCTGTTGACGAACTCCTTGCATTCGGCTAAACTTCGCCTTTTTCTCCTTATTTACGACCAATCATCATACTAGGTTTCTTCCACGTGAACGGATGGGAAGGGGAATAAATAAGGGGTAGATATTTCCCATCGTGGCGAGATTATTAACAGATAAGGGAAAAACAGATAATGTTTCTGCTTCCGTGGAAGGAAATGGCTTTTTCATCCGCCTTCCCACGCTGGAAAGATGTTATTTTCCCACCAAAATGAAAGAATATTTTTCATTATTATTTTAAATTTTTGATTTAAATTGTTATTTAGACCCAGGGGCTATTCGGATCTCACATTAGATAAAATAAACGAGTAAAATAAAACTCTTTCTTAATCCGATTTCGAGTGATTTATATCAGCAGACAAATAATTAACAAAGCTACTTTACTTCAGCCAACGTTATCTCTTATTATTTTCAAAATTTTTTCCAAAAAACTTTCCAAATGCATTTTGCCGTTACAGCCTCATCAGTGGATTACCTAACAACAAGCAACTTGTTACTTTTTATACCAATAAATTTTTCCCAGCATGCATCAACGCTAAGACCGACATTCTGATTTAACAAATTTACATGTTCAACAATACAAAAGTGTTCTACTACTCTTCTATTTTATATAATATTTTTACAGAATTTCAATTAATTTTACAATTATAATTGATACAATGTTGATACCAAGGTGACTCTTGTGTATTTAGACCAGGGGTCGCCAAAGTGGTCTATATCGACCCTCAGGGGTCGATGCAACATCATTCGGGGGGGTCGATGCGGCAATGGGTTACAACCTTTTTTTTTTTTTTTTTGCTTATACACTTACACTTGTAATAAAACTTTACGGTGGGGGGTCAATGTGAGGTTTTGGAAAGTGGTTGGGGGTCGACGGTTAAAAAAGATTGGCGACCGCTGTTTTAGACGAATTGCTGCCTCGTGTTCTTTTAGGCGCGTCTCGAGCCTCCGTCCCGTTTCTCCAACATATGATTTCGCTTGCAAACAATCACATGATACTTTGTAAACCACTTCTGCGACGTCAAGTTGATTTCTTACTATATTTTGACCTTTAATATTTATAATATTAATAATATTCGACATTTTGTTTTCCTGCTTGGCCCCTACACACATAGAAAACTTTTAAAATATGGGTTTATATCGTTCATAAAGATTATGTATATAAGGCATTTTAACGTATTATTATTTATACAATTTTTTACATTATATCTGTAATTTATAAAAGAAGTATACCACTTACAAATTTTACTCTTTGGATAGTCATTCAATAAATATTTTCTAAATAATTGTTTAATTTCTTTATTTATATCTTCCTTAAGTGATGTTCTGTTTAGTATTTTCCTCAATTTTATAGTAAAAACATTTCTCTTAGTCTCTATAGGGCAATAAGATCTATAACTAATTGTTTTTTCTGTATTACATAATTTTTCATACTTACGAAACACCAGTGGCGTTTTCTCACGTTTAATAGTCACATCCAAATAGTTTATTTCCTGATTCTGTTCTAATTCACTAGTAAACTTTATATTAGGTTTTAAATTATTTGCATAATCTTCAATTTAATGAGGTGTTACTATACAGGAATCAAAAATAATTAATATGTCGTTCACATAACGAGCATAAAATTCTATACCTGGAACTTGTGATATATTATCATCAATTGATTTCATACAAATCTCCGCTAATTTAAGTCCAACCACTGATCCCATTGATATTCTATTTTTTGGCGAAAAAAATCTGTATTAATTTTAAAATAATTATTTTTAAATATAAATTCTATAAGAAAAATTATATAATCTGGCATTTCATATTTATTGATAGATATTTTTATGGTTTTTTATCTTTACGTGGGAAGAGTTAATATTTCTGTGGCAGATTTAGGATGATGTTGTTTATGCTTAATAAGTGTTGTTCTTGTTTACCTTTGGAGTTGCTCAAGATCTGCGTAAGTCCAATGTATAACTCGAAAAAATAGGCGAGTACTGGGAAGCCATATGTGTTTATTGCTTTAACTGTGTTCTAAGAATAGCGTTTAACCTACTTTGATATTCTTTAATTAATTTTTCTTTTATTTGTGTATGTTCTGTTAGTTTGGCCTGTTGGAATCCTAAATACTTGCATAAGTCAGTCTCTTCCATGGATTCAATAACATCTTCAATTCCAAGTGCAAAATCTTCTTTCTTCAGGACTTTTTTTTCTATATGAAGTGTTTTGCATGTCTAAACCAAACTCCATTTGTATGAACTTGGTGTATGAATATGTAATTTGTAGAAGTTTATGAAGTTGTTTTTATGTGGATACATGAAGTTTTATGTTGTCCATGTACATGAGATGTGACAGTGTAAACTGTATTGTTTTTTCATGTCTGATATTGTAACCATATTGTGTGTTGTTTAATATGTTAGATAATAATAATCTATATATATAATCGAGACGAGTTGATAATAATAATAATCAGCGCAGAGCCCAAACAGTTAGGAGTTGAAAGTTGAAATTTAGTACACAGTTAGGGTACGTCACGAGAACGCACACTAAGAAGGGATTTTTCGAAATTCCTCCCCACGGGGGAGAGGGACAGCATAGTTACTTAGCACTTCCATTGTTACTTAACACTTCAATTGTTGATGGAAGTGTTAAGCCTTAATCATGTCCTAAGGTAAACAAGAACAACACTTATTAAGCATAAACAACATCATCCTAAATCTGCCACAGAAATATTAACTCTTCCACGTAAAGATAAAAAACCATAAAAATATCTATCAATAAATATGAAATACCAGATTATATAATTTTTCTTATAGAATTTATATTTAAAAATAATTATTTTAAAATTAATACAGATTTTTTTCGCCAAAAAATAGAATATCAATGGGATCAGTGGTTGGACTTAAATTAGCGGAGATTTGTATGAAATCAATTGATGATAATATATCACAAGTTCCAGGTATAGAATTTTATGCTCGTTATGTGAACGATATATTAATTATTTTTGATTCCTGTATAGTAACACCTCATTAAATTGAAGATTATGCAAATAATTTAAAACCTAATATAAAGTTTACTAGTGAATTAGAACAGAATCAGGAAATAAACTATTTGGATGTGACTATTAAACGTGAGAAAACGCCACTGGTGTTTCGTAAGTATGAAAAATTATGTAATACAGAAAAAACAATTAGTTATAGATCTTATTGCCCTATAGAGACTAAGAGAAATGTTTTTACTATAAAATTGAGGAAAATACTAAACAGAACATCACTTAAGGAAGATATAAATAAAGAAATTAAACAATTATTTAGAAAATATTTATTGAATGACTATCCAAAGAGTAAAATTTGTAAGTGGTATACTTCTTTTATAAATTACAGATATAATGTAAAAAATTGTATAAATAATAATACGTTAAAATGCCTTATATACATAATCTTTATGAACGATATAAACCGATATTTTAAAAGTTTTCTAATTTAAAAGTAAATCCACAAATGTATTGGTTGTGCCATTATTGGTTATATTATTCTGATAATTTAATGAAAATAATTTATAATTACATATTAATGTTTATTATTTTTGTAACCACCAAACAGGGTTTGTAACTGTAACTGATGTAAGGTTATTAAGAAAACTCAAAACTGATGCAGAGTACACCGACACTGAGGAAAGATCGGTACAAACTCCAATACAAAATGCATATAATTAAAGATCTGTGAATTAAAATTGTCTTTTGAGCTGTTCTTGACCTCTGGTAAATGTTGGATTGAAAGGACATAATAAATTTGTTTATTTGCCTACAAACCCCTTTTTGGTGGTTACAAAAATAAGAGATCGTATCTGGCAAATATTGCTGATATCAGCTTTGTATTATTAATGTTTAATAGCNTATTCAGATAATTTAATGAAAATAATTTATAATTACATATTAATGTTTATTATTTTTGTAACCACCAAACAGGGTTTGTAACTGTGACTGATGTAAGGTTATTAAGAAAACTCAAAACTGATGCAGAGTACACCGACACTGAGGAAAGATCGGTATAAACTCCAATCCAAAATGCATATAATTAAAGATCTGTGAATTAAAATTGTCTTTTGAGCAGTTCTTGACCTCTGGTGAATGTTGGATTGAAAGGACATAATAAATTTGTTTATTTGCCTACAAACCCCTTTTTGGTGGTTACAAAAATAAGAGATTGTATCTGGCAAATATTGCTGATATCAGCTTTGTATTATTAATGTTTAATAGCATATTGATTTCTGGGTCACTAATGACTATTAAGTAATAAACAAACATGTGTGCTCATGTAGCAGGAAACTTCATGTAATAGCACATTTATATTTGCTCCAAGTAAAATAAATGTGGAAAATGCTTGGTTTTCATAGCAATTTCAACATTAACTAAAGCAGTAGACAAACTTATAAAATTAAAATATATCTTAGCTTAAAATGTGAAACATACAAAATATTGAAAGGAAAGAAGGATTTCTTATTGGCATGACTAACTGTGGATTAACACAATCTAATATGATTTATTAGATATGATGAATATATACATATTACTAAAAGCAACATCTCCAGCTAATTACAAAAATAAAAACTTTTTAAATACTATAATAAGCAATTGATTTTATGACCAAAAAAAATGTAAAATACAATTTTCAACATTTTCAAAGAAAACTACTTTGGCCCAAAATAACAGTTATCACATTAGCAACATTAGTTTTGTACATTTTGGTATAATTTGTTACTTATAAGTTATGCAATGAATAGAAAGAAAACTGAATAAAAAATACTTACCTTTAGTATCAGGATCATTGAGAAATATTTCTAAGCAATCAATAAAATCAGTTCCATTAAAAGGATCTCCTCCAATACCAATGCAAAGTGACTGCCCTAATCCCACTGCTGTAGTCTGATGTACTGCTTCATATGTTAATGTTCCTGATCTTGATACTATTCCTATTTTACCTGCCTGATGAATATGTCCTGGCATAATGCCAATCTTGCACTCTTCAGGCTTTAAATAAAATAAAAAAGGTAGTGAAATATAAACTAAACATTAAAAAGTACAGAAGATACTAAAAGTCTTTAGCAATCAGTAGTGTGGAGCTTATTTCCACAATTTATGTGAACCTCATACCCTCTATTTCCATTCAAATATATAAATAGAAAAAATTTGTGCCAAAAATCTAATCCATTGGTGAATATTTACTGGTAGCTCAACATCACTGAAATTTTTTAGGTTCCAAATAGTAAGAATGAGCATATGGCAATCACAAGGTTGAACCACAATGTATCCATTTTAGCACAACAATTTGTAAAACTAGTTGGTCATTTAAAAAAATAAACCATTAAATTAATCACACATTAGTTACATGACATTCGCACAAAATTAATTTCTGTCATGACTCGTGATCATTATTTTGCTGACATCTTGCTGATGTTTTTCCCTGTTTCTGATTGAGGCTGACCCTGATTGTGACTGTTTACATCAGACCCTATTGGCTATTTGGCTTGTATGGTCTTTTGATACAAGCTCCAGCACTAGCCGGATTGCTAGCATCTATGTCCTCTTAGAACAAAAGCTAGGTAAGAAACTGCTATCACTAGCATGCAGACATATAATAGAGCTGATCATTGGTGCAATGTTTGAAGTATGTCTGGGATCACATCATCACCAGAAGTTCCACTCTAAGTGACTTCAACATCATTGGCAGTTAATTGATCAACAGAAATGTAAAACAGGATTTACAAATAACACAGTATCAAAATCACTGCAAGACATCAAAGATGGTGTTGTTGAGTTTGCAAAAAGCTATCTGGAAAACAGTCAGCCAAGAGATAACAACAGAGAATTCACTAAACTTGTTATTATCTTTCTTGGTTTGATCCCACAGAGAGTGGTCCGATTTATGGCACCTGGAGCCATGCATCATGCACACTGACTCTCGAAGGTAATTTACAGTTTGAAAATGTGGATGTTTAGAGCCAGTTCCCACTTAACAAAAGACAACGAGAAGGGACTATGCTGGGGTCACCAAAGTGGTTGATATAACATTATTGGGGGGTTGATTATCAAGCTTAAGCTAAGGATAAGGGGGAGCTAAGGATCAAGCTTATCTGTCTCACTGATTATCAGTTACAAAAATTATTATTAACAAATATACAATAAATGAAAAAACAAATGCAAATTAAAAGAAATGTATTAAAATAGTAAGTACTTCGTTTTGCTTGTAACACAAACTTTTTGGTGGGGGTTGATGTGATGTTTCGAAAACTTGTTGGGGGTCAACAATCAAAAAGTTTGGTGACCTTGGGACTACAGGATTTGTGTGTCTTTGCTGCACATGTGTACTTGAAAGCCTGGATTTCAGCTCCATTGGCAACCAGTGCTCCTAACAACAATCTTCAACTTCTGAAATCACTTCTTGAATATTCGACAATCAATATGACAATATCCGAGGCAGCATCTCTCAAATTTTCTAAACACTTATGGTATTTGTCACCAGATTTGATTGCTTTTGCTTTTTTCGATAACCATGTAAGTTCTGCTACAAAGAGGCTAATGATTACAGTAATGCAAAATGATGACAACACTGAACAGGGTCACACTAAGTGAATCAGTGTTACTTGGACACATTCATGGGAAAAAATCTTGTGTGTTTTATATCTGCAAAGTCACAGACTATTTGAATTAATGGAACTTCCAGATACATTTCACACTGTAGATCCTGATCCTTGGAAAGATAGAGAGGACTACCAGAAGGCTGCAGAGTCAGTACATGTCATTAAAGTTGTTAATGACCATGCAGAACACATAGTCACACTCATCTAGGAATTCAGTGGCCTAAAGACTCATGATGAATTAGAACTTCAGTATTTGCTGTAAGTTGTTCAACAGCACTGTTATGCTTATTCAGACAGCAAGAAAGAGATACTCTCTGCCTCTACCAAAATAAACTGATAAAGATGCATTGAACATTGTACTGAAAATTTCAAATTTTGTGAATTGTGAGATTTAAAAATGTTTTCGTTCATTTTTGGTTTGTAAACTATCAAGCTTTTGAATATTGTAGAGTCTACATGACTATTTAATTTGTCTGTAATTGTCCAAAAAAGTGAAACAAGTCTGGTTTATCAAAACTGGTCTTGTATGTTTTCATTTATCATAAATTGCTGTTTTTATAAACTTTGTGGTCATTGAGCTACCTCTAGATATTAATATATCAAGTTCAAATTTCTTCTGTAGTAATTTGAGACCAGTTGGAATAGTTCTGGATGGTAGGACCACAACAAAGTAAGAGATTTATTTTTTCCCTATTTTAAGCACTGCACTAGCTATCAGTCTTCACAAGTGTCTCTATTAGTTCCATAGTCGTCTCTGTTTTTACGAAGACTATGCCTCTGAATAATGCAAATTGATTGAAACATCTTCCTGGTGATATTTAGTATATTTTATCTTTACTACATTTTATTAAATGTAAATACCATCAGCTAACTTGAAATAAACTAAACAACATTTTTTTTTATCACTAAAAAATTGGTTGTTGGAAACATAACAAAATAGCTATAGAAGATAATATGTATAAAGAACAAACTTTGTCTATTCTTTATACATATTATCTTCAGTACATATTCATATTATTCCAAGTTTGATTCCAAGTTGAATTCTTAGAAATTTTCATTCTAATGAAGATATCTAATTTGTAATCAAACAACATTACTATACCCAATACATTTTAAATTCCACAAATTGGTTTATTTATGATTATTTATGATTACCTGTAATCATAAATAATCATAAATAAACCAATTTTAATCTGTGTGACTGTGTTGCTATAATTCTATACACCAGTATAATAATTACAGGTAAAAATAAATAAACCAATTTTAATCTGTGTGACTGTGTTGCTATAATTCTATACACCAGTATAATAATTACAGGTAAAAATAAATAAACCAATTTTAATCTGTGTGACTGTGTTGCTATAATTCTATACACCAGTATAATTAGTCCTATTAATAGAAATACACAGTTATGGTGTTTGAAAGAACAAGTTATCTTTAACTTTGCATTTTGTTGACATTAATGAAAGTAAAGTCCAATTGCGTAAGTGTTTCGTTACTTACAAGCCGGTAAGTGCTCTTCAGAAGCTAGACTCAATGGCCTCTTTCTTGATGATATTGTGCAAGAGTTCGAGTTGGATATGAATGATTGTCGAGGCCAAGGATATGATAATGGATCGAATATGGTAGGAATAAACAAAGGTGTCCAAAGCAAAATTCTGAACCAATATCCACAAGCATTTTTAATCCACATGGCTGTCATTGCTTAAATTTGGTAATAGCAGATGCCGCTAAAACATCTGTTAAATTGGTTTCTTTGTTCGGATTTCTTCAAAGACTGTTTGTTCTATGCTCTGCATCAACAAAGTGATAGGAAGTGATATCCAAGCACATAGAAGGACTATCGCTGAAAACAGTTTGTGGAACTCATTGTGGGAGAGTAGAGTTTCTAGTCTTGCTGCAGTTCATTATCACTACTCTTCAGTTTGTGACGCCCTTCTGGATCTTCACGAAGAAACAAATGACCCAGTTGCAGCATCAGAGGCCTTGTCCCTGATTCAGATCATAAAGCAATTTGAGTTTATAGTAACAATAGTGGTTTGTTATGATATATTATTTCAAGTAAACATTGTAAGCAAGGCTATGCAGTCTGAAACTATGTATTTACCAAATGCTACACAATTGCTGAAGAACTGCTATGAATTTGTAAAAGAGTACCAGAGTTATTAGTCTGCTGTGATAACAGCCAGGATAATTGCATTTCAGGCTGCACTTCGAATTTTGCTGACCATACCTATAACTGTTGCTAAAGGAAAACAAAGTTTCAGTAAATTAAAACTTATTTACGTTCAACCATGTGTCAGGATAGACTGTCAAATCTAGCAGTTTTATCTATCAAGAATAGTATTGCCCAGGAATTAATTTATTCTAAATTAATAACAACATTTGCAAGCACAAAAGCAAGAAAGATGATAATGTAGGCTTTTTATTTTATTTTTCTTAAATTGCTTCAATTTTAAATTAATTTACGATGTAAATTTGTCTTTTGCATGATGTGAGCGTTGTCTGTACCATAGCAGTTTAAATAAATATTGTTATGAATATTGCCTTATGAAAAAATTAAATAAATATTGCTTTGTGAAAGAAATATTGTTTTTTTCACTGTTATTGTTCCTCATCCATACTAGTACTATGCTATTGATTTTACAGAAGAGTGAGCTGGGTTGTGAGAATATAAAACATGATCCTGATATGTGTGCTATATCTCCATAACCTAAAATTAAAAGATTCCATCGACAGAGGGGAGGGAAAAAAACATCAACAGTTTGCAATACATTTGAATTAACTAGAGTCAAGTTAACTCTCCATTTACCGTCATTATTGTTTCTCATCCATAGTATTACTATACTAATCTTTCAAAGGTCTGAGTTATTAACTTAACGCCCGGTCCCGAAATAACTCGGGCAAGTTTTTAGTGTTACATAATACTCGGTCCTTTCAGCCCGAAAAAAAATTTTTGATTTTTTTGGATTTTTGGAATGTTTTTTAGGTCTCCAAATTTTTTCAAAAATTTTTACCCGCGCAAAAAAATTTTATCGCGATTTTAATGAGCCTTTGTAAAGGCTCGATTATGGCTTAATTGTTTTTAATGAGAGTTTTTTTTTATCAAATTTCATTCATGGTTCCTAAGTTGTAGTGCACGGATTTTCTTTTGGTAAAGTTATTTAAAACTAGTTTCTGATGTCAAAAATGACCTCCAATAGTTTTTTAATTTTTTTAATTAATATATTTTATTATGTATCAATTTATTATTTTTACTCAACAAATTTTTTCAAAACGAATATCTACAAATGCACACTTGGAAAGAATTTCATATATCCTTCGAGTCTTAAACAGCCCAAAATTTCTCACAGCTCTGTACGAAATTATCAGTGCATAATTTACTTGAAG